TAAAGTTGATCTGAAGCACAAGAAGATTAATATTTCAAACCCTCGAGTGAGTAAATACACCTGAAATATTTCTTTTTTGACAGAAAATTAATTTTTGGCTGAAGATAATATTATGAAACTGTATAATTCGTATTTAAAAATTTGATATGAATAAAGGCATCTCAATCATGCAATATGAACTTCGAGGAAGATGTAGAAAATGTTGTTCAAATTACCACAAGCTAAACTCTAGTCACATTAAGTGAAGTCAAGTTTCATTAAGTTGAACTCATGTTGCAATTAATGATACATAAAAAAAATTAAGTTTCATTTGTGCGAAAATGGATTCAAGCTACTGCAAGTGAGACTTTATTCATTTTTGAATGGTTACAAATTCTTGGGTGGCTGATTGAAATCTACTATTTTCAAATTTGTAGTTTTTCATGAGTGTATTTTCAGTTTTATGATTTTTTATTTACTTTTTAGTTACATTTACATAATGACTATAATATGAAGGGTACAACTCTTGAAATGCCTCATGAAAGGTCAAAGAGGACTTGAAAAATGTGGTAAAAAAAAACATTTGTACTTTCTTTTAGTCTAGAGCTAAATTCTTTACAATTCTATTTAGTTTAGGTTGCATGCATAAATCATTCAATCTTGACTTGATCAATCTTGCTTGTGGAGTGATTCGAATCTTAAATAAAATTTCTTATCTTGAGATATTTGATCAATAAGGTAACTTGGATCTTCCCTTGAGTAATTCCTTAATTTTTTTTGGGGTTTTTGGATATTTTAGATCTAAAAGTCTTTTTTCCAATAAGTTTGTTAGGTCAAATTCTCGGGAGTTTCATATAATTTGGGATGAAATCATCTTGATTTGAAGTTTTTTAGCATCTGTGATCTAGGGGTTTGCATATCTTTAAGGTTCTTAGATTCAATTAGCTAAGGTTTTCATATCCCAATTCATATAAAAATTAAAACATTTATTGAAATGTTACATACATACATACATACATACATACATACATATATATATATATACATACATACATACATATATTAAATAGAAAGCGGAAGTAGAAGACCGTTTGAAAGGTTTTGTTCTCTCCCGAGAACAAGCCTAATTCCAACCTACCTGTTACATACATCCATTTACACCTACGATCTTTCTATAATAACAAGCCGAGGGTGTCCATGCCCTTGCTTATGTCATCCCTCGTGCTTCCCCACCCTTCGTTCTACGTGCGCATACAAATCTAATGGATGGTTTAGTAAGCCTGTCATTCTGCACATTGATGATACAAAAGAACTATAAAGATTTTTGTGACTGGACAACATACATCTCCGTTATTACATTTTTTCCCACATGATGTGTGCTATTTCCTTAGCATGGTATACTATTGTTACTTTTATTTTTATGATTATCGTAGTCCGCTCCATAATTCCTTTGTATGCTGTAGGTAGCCTGGGAGCACGAACAGTTTTCAAGATTGAGAGTAACTGCTGCTACCCTTTCTGGACTTTCTACTGCTCCTGAGCTTTTGGAAAGGACTGGAGGTTTAGTTGATAACAGGTTCTGTTTTTAAGAAATTAATCAATTTCTCGGTTCTGTTCCACTTCATGTTTGCATGTGTGCGTTATATATTTGTGTATGCGTGTTCTTTGTATTCTGACAAGATCATAACTTCCAACAGATCATTTTTGAACGAGAGTGCAGTTGCCAAGAGTATCAAGTTAGTTGCGGAGAGCCTTGCAGTAAGATTTGTCATGTCTTGCTTAGCCATAATCTTTAAGCTATTTCAACTTCTTCCTGTTTCCAACTGCTAGTGTTTTTTTTTTTTTTGGCAATCCAGAACTCATTTCTAGATTTGAATGTTTAAATATGTCACTCAACTTCTACTGTTATTTAAAAGTGGGGAGAGTGCACGAATACATTACATACATTATTGATTTTCAAATTGCAGATGACTCAGAATGTCTGCTGTATTATTTTATATTGTTTTTAGGATTCTCTAATGCATAATTCCTTTTATTTATGCAGAGGCATATTTACAGATATGATGGAAAGAACATACAAGTATTTGCAGATGATAGTAGTTTGGCAGTCCATCCAACATATATTCGATCATGGTTGGATCTTTTGTCACGATCACCTCGAGTTGCTCCATTTCTGTCGAAGGACGATCCCTTCATATTGGCATTGAAAAAGGTTTTATATCATAACTAAAATTGTTCCAGTTGATGCCATCTACTTTCATTTAGCTTCCTATACTGTATTCACCCAAAGACTGATTGATTGACAATCTGATAAAGAAAATAGAAGACAATGTTCTGAAACATGTAGATGTTCAACTTGGCAAGTTTCCTGTCATAAGATAACCCCTTCCTAGGCTGTTACCATTCTTGTCCTTTCATTCAGGTTAACCCGAAAATATTGCTCTAAAACATACATAAAATGCTTGGGGTTTTTAATTTTCAGCTGCATACAACATTCTGAATTTTGATAAAATTGCTGCCATCTTTTTGAACCATAATTTAAATTTGTTACATCATAAAATCCTGACATTTTTTTTTTAATATGGTGGAACTATTACTGTTGCTTCTACTCTATCCAAATGTGTCTTGCACGTTTGTGTGCTTCAAAAGTTTGCAAATCATTTGATCTAACACAATATCTGCGTGGTCAGTTAGTTTGACTGGGCTGACTCATAAGTCATACGAATACCTTAGGTTACTAACTCAAGTTACCTAAGCCATCGTCCAATGATATTGTTCTACTATTTTCAGGAACTGGAGGTCCATACCAGTGATGTGAGCTTGCAACATGAGCTATTCGATGGGATGTTCACCTTTTATGATTCAACTGCAGCTAAACTTCACATATATCAGGTACTTTGCAGATGAATGCTGAACTTGATTCTGTACTTGTATTTTCATGTTACAGATCCAGTTTTGTTATAATTTTCCAGCTTCTCCAATCACACATGCTCATTCTGAATCTACAGTTCTATTTTAGTTTGTACATAGTTATTTCCTATGTTCGAGTCAGCTGATTCTGGATCTGTGGTTATACATGCATGTGAAATGGGATGAGGGTTGCTTTCTCTATTTAAGTCCTTCGGTGTTCTTTCTTGACTTCAATCTAAGCAAGCTTTATATTTGTTGTTTCAGGTTGCTAGCGTGACGTTCGACTTGCTTTTGCTTTTGGCCTTGGGATCATATTTAGTTTTTCTCTTCTGTTTTCTTGTGATCACAACCAGGGTATGTTCTATCCTTTTCTTAATCAATTTTAGAAATCTCTCTCATGATATAAAATTATACCCGAACTTCTTTACATCTGCGTAAAACACTTATTTTAAATGCATTCTCAAGCACACTTTTAGAGTAGGTGTGACATGACTTTTTAAAATAATGTTTTTTTCAGTGAATCTTTTTTATAAGCACTCTACAGAAACACTCTCTAGAATCGATTTCAAGTGCTTTTAAGAATTTCTAAATTATTTTTATTATGTAATCAAACGTTATACAAAATCTTAAAAAGTAATTGTAATTGGTTAAAAAATGGTAGAAAAGCTCACAAAATGTTTTTGTTTCATAGGGTCTTGATGATCTGATCGGTCTATTTAGACGCCCTCCCTCCCGAAAAGTGAAAACAGCTTGATGAGTATTGTAGATTTTGATGCTTGGATTTACATCATTGCTGCCAAATTTTTGCCACCTAGATTAGACAGGCCATACACTATAGGGTCCAATGTGACAAGGTGTCAAACCAATCATCACAGCTAGATGGAACTGAAGGTTTCATTTCATGTGGTATTATTCCTCTCAGGATTTTCTCATCCTTTTCTCTTTTCCTGACATCCTTTAGTTATATCATCTGTGCCATAATAACGTTATTGTGTGCTCTCCGTATTTAATTTCGTACTGTTTCACCCTCAATTGTGGTTTCCACTTTTGACTAAGATTTCTTTTCTTGAAACTTGTTGGGTCTTATTTGGAGCACCGTCGATGTTAGTGGCAAAAATACATTAGATTCTGTTCAACAGTTAAAAGTCATGAGATAAGAGTTTTCTTTCCCTCCATTTTTTCAGAGAATTTGTATGGGATTTTGACTGTTGGTATTAGAATTAACTTTCAGGTTAGTCATTAGTTTGTAATTGTGTTAACTATTATCCAGTTCTATCAAATCTCTGTAGTATTTCTGTTTAAAAGCATGGACTTACTAAGAGATAATATACAAGATTTTATCTCACAAATTTCGAATTCGATTTCAAAATAGTAACGTTTCTGCTGCTTCACAAACTTTCTTTTGCACTTTCTTTTCATTTTACAGATGCTACAGTCTAGAATACATACTTTGTACATTATTATGATTGGTTAAATCTTGTTCCTGTTATATGGGCTTCGTACCGACAATGTATCGTGGAGCCGTTAGATGATTATAGCTCTTTATATCAAGAACAAATTAGGGTTCCTCAATGGAACTGTTTCCAAACACTGGTGAATTATTATTACCTGCTTGGACTTGAAAATGGCATCTTGAATGCCTGGATTTTAAGTTCGCTCAGAACTGATTGTTGCTTGTATCACTTACTAGAATTCTGCATATGGCATTCGGGTTGATTTTAAGGGAAGATTCCAGCGACAAATCGGGTTTGTGGTAATCATGAACCAGATAATCATGATTGTCTAAAACAATATGAATTCAACGTAGACAACTATATGAGACACTGTTCCATGGCCTCCACATTATAACCACCATCTAGCTTTTACTTTACTTGACTCCACTATTGTGTTGAAAAATGTAACTTACATGATTGATGGACTTAATTTCATTACTGGTTTTGAGCTTTGCTTTTATTTATGGGTATACTTTGAATCTATAATAATTCTCTACCTTTGATTCATGCACAAGCACATAGACTTACTATGCAAACTCGATCTATCTATATGAAGAAGAAATCATGTAACAAAGAGGGTTCTTATTTGTACAAATGGTACTTCGAACTTGGAATGAGCATGAAGAAATTAACGATACTTCTTTATCTTTTGAGTTGTTCTGCCGGATCGGTCGTTCAAAACCTTTGGTCTCTATCCGTACCCGATGAAAAAAATGGGATCACTTCTTATGGACTCGTTTAGACTGATTTTGATCTAGTTCATGGCCTATTAGAAGTAGAAGACGCTCTGTTGGGATTAGGATCCTCACGGACAGAAAAAGATTCCAGTCGATCTGTCGTCCTCCTCTCTAGGCCTAACTATGAGCTAGGGCATTCTTACGCAATTAACTCCCGTGGAAAAGAAAGGAATGAAAATAATATTTCATACATGTATATGTTTGTACTATGCATGATGGAAAAGTAATCTATGACTAATATGAAGTTATAAAGTCTCATTGTTCAATTCATCCGTAGTGATATGGTACAATAATAGCATGTTTATGCTTAGTACAATACTAATATATCATGAGACTAACAACCATATCCATACATGATCATACATGTTTGTACATTCTATTTCATTGTAGAACATGCTTTGCATAGGCCATGTTATAACATACATGATCATAGCTAATCATACATAAACATTTAATCATCGCATCATCATTTAATTCAATAGCTCCTAATTTAAAACATTATAATAGGTGTTATTCATGCATCAAACAACTCATCAAGCTCATAAGCTTCCACTGTTATGGAGTTTAATCCAAATGTTCTACACTCCCATGAGCTAATTATAGCTTAGGTAAACTCTATTGGAGTCCAATCTTACCTATGACCTTTAAAGCACCCGAAATTGATCTTAAAACTCATCCATAATACTAAAAAAAAACTTATTAGTTTTAAAAAGCAATTCTAAACTACTAAAAAAGTTACTGAATTGGCTAAAAGGGAGGATAAATGGATCTAAAAAGCCCTAAATTGGAATTAATTCAGACAAAAACACCTTAAACTGGTTTAAACCGATTGGATTAACCTGAAACCAGTACGCACTAATTGGATTAACCTTGAACCGACTTAAAATGGGCTTGAATCTGATCTGGGACGACTAAAATAGACGTGTTTTACAATTGTACATGTGAACTAGAGCTGAACAACACTTAAGTGTGTGAACCATAGTTGAATTGATGTTGGTGCTTGTGCCTGTTTTGACTGGATTGCTGGGCTCCGGGTAGTATGCATCTTGGCTCGACATGCTATGTATCATGGCTGCACATTTTCAACCGTGCGGTGTTGTGATCTTGACACGTTCACGACAAGCCTTGAGGGGAACCCAAGCTCAATCTACATTTTTCCCCATCTTTGTAGTTTCGCCAGATCTTAGGTGAGGTTTGTCTTCACCAACTGAACACAAATAGTGCAAAATTCAAGCTTGTTCGGCCACACACGCTGCTTGTGCATGCATGTTTAATCTTCAGCAATCCAACTGACTTACCTCTACACAAGGCCAAGTCATCCGACCCGACCTTACCTTACCTCTACTTGGAGTTAAGGCCCCTTAGTGCAACATCACATCTCAACTGGTCATTTAGGTTTCTAATTAACATTGTCCATATATTTTTATTCCATCTCAAGTACCGAGATGTTATCGGCCATTACAACTCGCTCGATCATGGTCATCGAGAATAGACCATGTGTCAATTCATATCACGAACATCTATCCTTCCAAGCTATATCAAGACATTGGACCCACTTGTGTCCATGCTAGTTTATTTACGCTTCTGGGAGGGGGGGCTCGCAAGCCCAACCACAACATTTTCTCTATCATGGCCACATCTCTCCTTGAAGCAAAGTAGTCCTTTTAGTTGTTGGCACTAAACTTCACTAACTCTTTTCTTGGCCATCTTCATGTGGTAGCCACTATACTGACAACGTCAACATTCGTATAGAGAGGCCTTCTTAACCTAAAAAATAAGAGCAACATATGGTTGGAGTATTTTGATAAATAATTAATTAATAAGTAGCTCAAATATTAGGGACAGAAAATGCAAACATAAGTAATCATATTATGACTTTTCCTTTCGTAAAAACATCAAGACCTAACCTATTGACTCCATTTCTCCCTACCATTCTTCTACCAATTTGGAGAATACGAAAAAGAAAGAAATGAGGAAAAAAAAAAAAAAACTAAAGGAAGTAGGTCCGGAGCTTGGCCTTGAGCCTTCCAAACTTGTGTGATCTTCAGCTGTCTAGCTCATACATGGGACGCTCACGCCCAGACCACTCAAACCTACATTGCAACCACCTGACCAACTCAACAATTTATGCCGTCTAGCATGGTAGCATGCCTATGACACAATCGACCGTCAAAAACCCAACTTTTAGACCTGCACCAACCTAGTCCAAATGGTCGGACCCACGACCTGATTTGACCTTTGTGACTATCTTACCATTTTGAACCATTCTAGAGTTGTTTTTTACGCTATCCAGAGTCAATTGAGGTGAGTACAACAATTGTTCACCAATTTAAAGTATGTTAAGCTAAATTAGAGGATTATTTGAGACCATTAGGTGGATTAAGCCCTTCAACAAATTCTAACTCGATATTATGAGCCCATATATGTTGACTTGTGTTCTAAGGGTAGTTTTGGACTAGCACCAAGGATAAGATACTAACTCCAACCTAGAACAACCAAATAAATAACTTTACTATTGACTTGGTTGGATGAATTATTTGAAGTATGAATGGCAGGTGCTCTTGGCCTCTCCACGAGCCGAGTCATATGATTGTTTAATGCCTGTTTATTATATTATTGTTGTGATGGAGTGTATGCTATGGAACTAAAGATGTCATATTATGCTATAATTATGTGATATATAATGTTATAGAATTTCATGTTGACATGGTATGTGAAATTGTGCTATGTTATTAAAAGTGTTATACCATGTTATACACTACATTACAAGATGACATGAAATGATTAAGTTAGGTATGAAATGATCTAAGGCATAACTTGTCTCGTAGATATATGTCATGATTTTTAAGCTATGGGGGCCACATACATCTTGTATGTTCACATACATCGAGATACTTTTCTGTTATGATTAATATACATATATACTACGATATTATGTTACGGTATTATGTACACCATAATACAATGTGTGTTCCCTCTCTTCTATGGTTATTCCGGCAATGTGGAGTGTATGCTAGTCGAATGCCAACTCCAAAGGTTATGTATACGAGCTCGCCTGGGGTCCATGTGCGCGTACGTGGGCTGTGTGTAGAAAAGTACATATCCAATTCTGCTCGAACTAGAAGTAGATACGAAGGTCATATCATGATGTTTTTACGAAAGAAAGATCTCAACATGATCGCTTGCATTTATATTTCCCGACTCCAATAATGGGGCTGCTATTAAGTATTTTTCAAAATACTCTAGACATGTGCAAATCTTATTTTTTAGGTTAAGATAAGACATTCTTGTATGAATGACGATGTCCCAGTGAGGACTTAGGGTCATTGCATTCATCTTTGTTTTAGTAGTTCATAGGTTAGCTCAAATCGTCTCATTTTTTTTTATTTAAATCTATGTTTTCTATTCTTTACTATGTGGTTGATAATAAGATGTGAAATATTGTCACATACTTTTCCACAAATATTAGGCGCACATAATATTAGGCATGTCATGCATAATGAAGAACATAGTCGTTATATAAATTATCTTAACGTTTCAATATAACACCGTATGAGTTAGCAAACACAGTAAATTTAACCAATCGCAACTTATACAAATCATAATCAATTCAGCTCAATTTTTCTTATACAAATTTAACCGATCACAACTTATACAAATTTAACCGATCGCAACTTATACAAAGATAACACCGTATGAGTTAGCCAACACAGTAAAGTTAACCTTAAAACACTGATTTTGCCAAAGCCCAACAAATGAATTATATAGAATCCACATTTGACACCTCTATATATATACACTACACATTTAAAATAATCTCTTATGGCACATTAGCATAGAAAGATCAGTAGAGTCCCTAAGACATACCAAAAACCTCCAATCGAGACAAACAAAGCTAACAAAATCAACAAAACAAATATCACGACTCGAGCATAGCCCCGAACAACGCTAACCAAAGAGGCAGTGTTCATCAACTGGCTTTGTGATAGTTCTGAGGATGCTAACCTCGATTTCTCAACCATGTATCTGGAATCACCATTTTGCATAGCCTCCAACTTCTTTGCTCCAATGGCTTCTCTCCATTTCAATCTGATTCTCCGATTTGCACAGCCTTGGTTCGGTAGCCATTCCAAATAGTCATTCCAGTCCTGCTGGTACTTTCTCTCTCCATCTGATCTATGGAAAACCAGTGGGAACAGATCCGAAGCAGCATTGTAAGGCGCAGATGCATCCAGGTTAAGAATGTCGTCTTTTAGTATGTCGGAGTAGAAATCATCAGAACCATAATCCTGGATACAACAACGTGGGGCTTTAGTAGTCGATGTGTAGGGGTACTCGAAGAGAATATTTTTAGGAGCCGGTATCAATTTATGTCTAATTGCTCCACATATAGTTCCTCTAACCATATTTTCTAAACGAACTAGACTCAATCCGAATTGATCATTTAAGAGATCCGCAATAGAACGAATCCGTTTATTTTTCAAATGATTCATATCGTCAAGTGTACTCATTTCAAATTTCAGTCCAATCAAATGATCTGCCGCTGCCAATATATCTCGCGGTGAATATAATGTTCTCAGGTACATCAAGATTAAGCCTATGAGATCGAAATTTTAGAATATATAGTCAATTGTTTCCATCTTAAGATTGGTAAAGAGTACCTAGAAATCTATAGATCCATGGCGTAAATCTCTAATGGTGACAGGATATTAGAACTTACCTTCTGATCTCCTGAAGACTCCACAGGTGCAGCTTCTGCGACATCTTTTTGATTGGACTCAGATGTAAAATCGACCTGCTCGCCAGAATGAGCTTGCAACAAGGATAAATTCATCTGACTTGAAGCAGCTCGGTTTGAGCAACTATGTTGACGAAATTCATTATTCCTCCTAAGGCGGCAAACAACTAGAAAATCCTGTGCCATCAATTTTATCTTGAATTCAAAATACTAAATATACATACAATGTGAAATCCCACCTTGGTTGTGTAGGAGAACGAAACATTTTTTTTATAAGGATGTGGAAACCTCTCCCTAACAGACACGTTTTAAAAACCTTGAGGAAAACCCGAAAGGGAAAGCCCAAAGAGGACAATATCTGCTAGCGGTGGGCTTGGACTTGAGCCGTGACATACAAGGTGCCAGAAAAGAAGCGCAACTATAATTGCTAGAGGGGGAGACATTTTTACACCATGAGATAGCCAAAAAAGAGCAAAAAGGATGTCAATGGCTGTCTCCTAAATACTTTGTGGTTTCTTTCATTCATAGTGACTACAAAAAGGAACTAGTAAGTGAAGCCATAGTCTTCTTCGCATGTTAGAAAATATGCCTAAAGGAATGCACATGTAAATGAATTCTTGACTTTGGGAAAAGAGATAAGGTCAATAACAACCAAGATCCTTCGAAGAGGATTAACAAATATTTGAAGAACAATGCGTATAATTCAGTTTGGACATGTCAAATGACCCTAGAAAAATTTGGACCTAGATTCCTGGACTTGGATAATGATAATCCTGATTGTTTATATTAAGTATGCATGCTAATGGCCCTTCAATTTCAACATTATGCATTTTTTCTTCGAGGATTTAATGGTATAAAACTCAAAGCACTAAGTTATCTTTAAATCATAGCCAATTAGTAATCCATGCCTATGATAAATAAAATCAACCCTAAAGCATGTGTTGGTTAGATCAGTTATGATTATCAACACATACAACAATGAGCATATAGATCAATAAGATTCTATTACGCAAAAGATCTTTCAAGTTCGGGCAATAAGCTCACAATCATACATGGTGGTGTTTGAGGGTTCAAAAAGACAATGAAGCCTTTTTGTTTCTTTATATCCGTGAATGTTCGGATCATCTTGCACTCACCTCAACTAGTCTCCATGGGTTAAACTCATTCCTTCTAAGCTTCTTATTATTGTTGTGCACCGAAAGCAGAACAAATGTACTCACAACACCAATGAACGGAATTACACAAAGAGACACCAATAAATTTTTTAGTTCAAGTGCTATTTTATTAATTCTAAGCATGACATTATATAGCTTTTACAATCATGGTTGAACCTAAAAATATCAGCCGAAAGTAACTTAAAGTCCCAAAGAATAGACTAATAAGTCCTAAAGAATAGGAATTACAACAATTATTATCATGGGCCTTATTGACCACTAGGCCAACTCATGATGGTTGATAATGAAGTTTTTATTCAACTTTTGTATAGAACTTCTAACTTTGCTCAACATTTACTTTCTTTTTTCGAAGTGTGTTCTCGCCCTAAAACCTAAAATCTAAAGACATCATGGGTCTCCCTAACTAAACTCACTTGAAGATTCAAGCACACAAATTCCTGGTGAGTATCACTGAGTGTGAGCATTAGCCAATGAGGCTACCTCTTGGATGTTCAATGGCTCAAAAAGATAATGAAACCTTCATTTAACTTTTGTATAGGACTTCAAACTTTGCTTAAATTTTTTCTTTCTTTTTCTTAGTCTGAGCTCCTAAGATTTAAACTTTGGAGCCATCAAGGGTTTCCCTTAAACTCACTTGAAGATTTGAACACGCGAACTCTGGGTGGGTGTTGTTCACAGATCACGAGGATAATTCAACATGGCTGCCTCTCCTCGGGGGCTTTTGCCTTGCATTTAATTTTCAAATCTAGATTTAGATTTCATAATGGGTCATGAGTTTCTTTTTGGGCTTCTCTCTCTAGTTGTTTTCTGCAGCTTTAGCTCTGTTTATGTTATTTTTCCAGCCATTAAGTTTAGGTTTCTTTTACCTACCTTATTCTAAGCTAAAAAAAAATAAAAAAAAAAACTGATCCAGATTGTTCGACCTCGATTCTTGATCAAAACAGATCACTCCTTGTCGTCTTGAAGCAGATCGATTCATACCATGAATGCATGGAACTTACCAGCAGTCCGACTCCCAACTAAGAAGCCCCTTGCTGAAAGCTTCAATGATTTACCTTCAACTGGACTCATAATCATGCAAAGTTACCCTCAAGGTTCAGAATAAACATAGGAAACAACCGTGTACTCTACTACTATTCATTCACTACACAATCTAAAGCCTAGACCTCAAAGATGTAACGATACAATCGAATTGTTGTAACACTTCCTATACTAATTCAAACTATATCAGGCATTTTTTCCTACAGTAGATAAACATCTCAAACTGAAGTTTCAACATACTTCGACAGATTCCTAGTTCAGCTTTCACCATACTTCGACAGATTCCTAGTTCAGCAAGTGAGGCGAACGATAAAGGCGACAAAATCCATACAAGACATATTTATCCAACATGGAAACGAGCAACAGAGTGGTTAAAAGTAACACGATGACACCAAATCACCATAGGGTCACCACCAAAGTAAGAGCTGCTTTGGAAATTCAGAAAAACAGGGCAATCAAATTGTTTATCCTACGACAGTTTCTCAAACAAGCCACAATTCAATTAGAAAATTTGCTCCAAAAGTTATCAACATTTTCCAAATTGGTCACCAATAACATAAAGAAACTTACCTGAGCTTTATCCTTGCGTTAAATTCATGCATAATCCACTCTGTCCTTTCCCCTTTTGGTGCACGGCCAGTATGGAAAACCAGAGTCATCTTGGTACCAATAACATTGGAACCTGACTTTACATTACGCTCTTTCCCTGTGGCTTTCCAGTACCCTAAATCAGTCGCTCTCCTGGTCTGATTACCCTTCGGGTACTTTCTTCCTCGAGGGGAGAAGAAGAACCACTCATTATCGGATTGAATTATAGATTTAGCTGATCACACGAAGAAAGCAAACAGTTGTAATCAAACACCAGAAAAAGCCCAAAAGAATTGGAAATAGCCATAGATGATTCATTTCAAAGAAATTCAAAGTTCAACGTAGGGTTTTTGCCTAGGGCTCAGAAGTAAGAATACAAGATCATATAAGCAAACACTGACCAGGAAACATAGCCTTCCAATTTCTTCTTGAGGTAAAACGAAATCAACACTTCATCAGTTGGCGAAAAGCGAAAACCAGGAAACATAGAAGAAACCGCCATAGAAAGCTGCACTTCCCTGGATATCCCATTCTCAGCAGCAGCAGCAGCAGCAGCCGCCGCCATTGGCAACAACCTCGAGTGATCGAAACGGAAAAGGAGAAACAGAGGAAAAGGGAAAGGGATCGTAAATTCTTCCTGGTTTTGGTGTGGCGCAAATGCTTACCGAGAATTCTTTTCTTTGGTCGCACGTCAAATGGGATTTTGTTGAAGCCATTTGAAGCGTGGAGAAACGTGAAGGGACGCGTGGGGATTGATTTAGGGTTCGAAAGAACGGGTATGGCGCCAGGCATATCTGGACAGTTGAATCGGAAATCCATGGTTCTGTTGGCGCCATTCCAATGGCGACAACCTCCTCTGTTGGTGCCATTGCAGTCTCCGTTCAAGGTAAATAACGGTGGTGTTGGATTTATCCATGTTGACTAGTCAGTACAGATCTTCCACTAAAATAATTTTTCAAAAATTAAATTTTAATATTACAATATAATATATTCTTCCCAACAAAAATAAATTGATTTATTATAATTTGCATAAAAGCGAGGACAGGGAATTGGGGGACAGAGATGGAGAATATCGTTTTCGTCCCCAATCCCGTTCATACAAGGGAGTGAAATCTCTCACTACTCCCGCTCTCATTTTCCATTTAAATGGGTATTCTCCATTACAACAGGGTTTGCCCTATCCCGACCTCCCGAGAGTCTCACATTTGAGTGATCACTAATAAGAGTCTCTCGAGTTCCTCTCTTCAACCACGATAGTGGCCCCAAGCATGGGTTTATTATAGGTAAGATTCCATCTCAACTGTAGTGTCGTGTAACAATCGAGTCCTCATGAAAAATTGAATACTCGATTTTTTTCTTTTCTAGTCAAAGTTGCGGATTTTATTGAAAGCCGAGATACAATAAATAAATAAAAACAAAAATAAAAATAAGTGGAAAAAAGCAAAAGAGGGAGAAAAAATAAGGGGATTTTAGGGTTTTTAGAGAGAAAATGAAATTCGCTCCGAGAAGTCACACGTCATCCAAGTAAGTAACCACATGTATTCTAGGAAATAATAATTGCAGGGATCACTTGGTAAAACATGCATGCTAATAAAACCAAACCCTAGGAAGTTAGATTCGGTATGACCTGAACCTATGACAATTGGATAAGCATGAGAATAGTCACACTTGGTATTGGCATATTTGAATTACTCCCTACATGATGTAATGGACTATTTACTACTGCTTGTGCATAATCGTGGTGACACGGAGGATGAGAATTTGTGTATTTGTGCTCTAGCTATTTGATGGACATTATCTCGTTGAACATGTATGACTATACATTGACTCTAGGTAATTCAATGTGTGATTCTCTCGATATGAATAAGTAGTAGAAACAGTTTAAGAACAGGGTGAGAGTGTTTGTTTGGCTAGATTATGACCTAATATGGAACGCCTCTAGTAGACTGAACACATTACTATTGTGAGAGACAATCAGAGGGTGTAGCCCTAGTGCTTATGATCGATCCAGTCTTGGGGAGTCGGAACTGTGGAACCTGGAGATGTGCATCTAGGTCAAAACTGTCACACCCTAGAGACCTAGAAGATCACCACGACAACCTTAAAAAAAAAAAAAAAAAAAGGTAACCTCCTCGGCCGATAGCAACATGTCCAGTGTTTGTGGAGCTCCCACATCCCTTTCCACTCAAGCATGGTACCGTTGAGCTAGGCGTATGGCAGGTTAGGGACGTGTGGCTTGATAGTTTGGCTGGATTATCTTGTATAGTGGGTCCATTCTATGGGTGGGCGTTGATCATGCGGGTAGTCAACAGAGTTGGCACGTACAGGGGGTAGCGCCCCCAACCATGGGCAACTACATGACATGTGGGATGGGTTTGTTAGCTACCTACCATGGATTACAAGTAGGCTAGCACTCATCATGTTGTCCCCACCTATTAGAGAGAGTTCGGTGAGGTAGTGTTTCAACATAGAACACTCGTTACCATTGTGTAGCTTGAATTAGCTACCCAAGACTGTGCACTACAAAAGCAATACACCTAGAGAGTAGAGTAAAGTTTTGTGCTCTCCTGATAGGTCAAGGATGCAATGAGAGCATACAAATAGGTTGTTTACGAGTGTATTTATGTACTCATCTCTTTTCTTTTTTCAGGTGTTCTTAAGCTGTCGGTTAAGGTAGAAGAGTATTCGAGAGTTGTCCGATTACAAAAGGGGGTTGCTTCGGAGTATCAGTTTGTGTTTTTGTGTGATTCTTTGGTATTTTATTTCGTAATTATATCTCAAACAATTGAATTTTATCTTCTATTTAATTTAAGTGGGGTTTGTCGTTCATTTAATTTTAAATTTACCACATTTTCTTATTTTATTATTCTTATTTTTATTTTTAATTATTTTTGCTTTCATCTGGTTTGGAAACCTTGAAATTCACGTTGTGACATGGTGACATCATCTTCATACCTTTTAGTTGACAAGGGTTAGTCTAAATGATTGTCGAGTTGGACCCCATTAATACTAAGCATTTCATTAAGGGCATAGAGATGATTTTGTGTTCAAGCAGAAAATTTATCTCTAACACGATGTCGAAGTTGTCCATCTTGACAATCACAAAATCGATTTGTTTAGTCCAAGTCCTTAGCTTGATCGGAGTTCTCTTTACAATTCTTGAAATAGATAAGGCTGTTGAATTGACGACTTTCATTTGTCCAGCCATCTTGAATGTTCAGGTACTTGGATCTTCACCACAACTTTGCATCGTCAGGTAAATGCATTGTGGCCAACCAGACCTTCGTCCTTTCTACAAAGGTATTTGGGGCTTGAAAGTAATATTTGATGTCAAAGATAAAGATCTCCAAAGCCTTAGCGTCTCAAGCCCCTCAATAAAATTGAAGACCTTGTCTTTCTCGAACATGTCACAAGTATCCAACATAAGCCCAGAAAATTGCTTAACATAGTTTCGATATTCCCAGGTATGCCTCGACTTTCTTAATTTCCTCCTTGCTATTATCTCGACATTCTCTAGGAATAAATGTGAGCGAAGTTCTTGTTTTACGCTCTCCCAAGTGTCCATAGTACATCCGTCATCTTGAAGGTCCATGTATTTGGATCTCTCCCACAACTTTGAATTGCGGCCAACGTGACTTTCGCCTTTTCCGGAACGATATTTGTGGCTCGAAAGTACTATTCGAAGTCAAAGATAAAGTTATCTAAAACGTTAGCTCTTAACCCCTCAACAAAACTGAAGACCTTGTATTCTCCGATATTTATCAGATATGTCACAAATATCTAACATAAGCTCAGAAAACTTTTTTTTAGTTTACGGATATTATTTATATTTTTTAAAATTTAATGATATTTTATAGACAGAGTAAACCGTTAAACAATATTTTTATTAATTTAAATTATGAACATGAAGAACACGAACTAGAATCCATTACATCATGTTCACTTAGAAAAGTAGTCCTCGGTCCTCCCCTTGAACCCAATTTGTCCGAAGGTAAGCGTAATGAAGAGATCCAAGTGCCATGAAATCAGCCACAGCCTGAATAACGCATATTAACCCTTCTAAATCAACCATTTGATTTTATTTGATTTTCGTTTTCGTTTTCGTTTTCAAGTTTAAATCTTATTCGTTACCAAAATTGAGAAGTGAGCGGGGGTGGAGAAGGAAAATGCGCAAGCTCTGCTCCAATGCTCTCAAAGAAGAGTCCGGTCAAGCTCTTCCCGTCGATCACCAGAATGCTCGACGGCGCAATCCACCCGATCAGTCCAAATCTGATCACGTTCAGATCTCTCCGCAGTCAGTCTCTCTAAAAGCTTAATTATCCAAAATCATATGACATGTTAGAAATACACGATCATTTCCTAAATTAGCCAATCTAGGACTCTTTCCTAACAATTCTCCTCTCGAACAAAATATACTATAAAGACTCCCCTGAGGGCTATGGAGCCCTCAAATAAACTCTCCTTAATTGAGGCTCAGCTCCTCTAGAGTCCTCGAACAAAGTACATCTTTTGTTCAACACTTCAGTCACTTTTGACTATACCTTCGAGGCTCACAACTTCTTTGATCGACATTTGAGAATTCTATTAACATGACTAAGTCAAGGGCATGGTGTGATATTCCTCTGCAATTGGAGATGTATTCTTTACTTATAAATTCATGATCATTTCTAAATTAACCAATGTGGCACTCTCTTCTCAACCTAACAAACTGATAAAATAAGACCACCACACTAGCCAGCGAAGTAATCGCTTACCATGTGAACCTTCGGTCAGATGCGCCCGCCACGCGAAATGGATTCCTTGTGGGCATCGGGGATTTGATGAACCCTGTGATGACCAAAAGAAAAGAAGGCGAAATCAATTTTCAGAGCAGAGTAGAGAATCGATTGCACGTAGCGGTGGATCACCGGAGACGAGACAGGGAGATTTGGAGGGAGGAGAATAGAGAGAGGAGGTTCCGAGGCCGACGACTGTGGAAAAGGTGGTGGCGTAGGCGGTGGCCATTTTGGATGATTCGTGGGAATAAGGGCTTGAGTGGTGCGGTTCGTTTGTAGAAGGGAGGGTGTGGAATTTTCTTTGAGATTTGATCGATGTGGAATTGGATGCATTTTTTGATGAATCAGGGTTTGACACGTGGAAGTATTTGGATAAAGTGGGCCCTTCTACTCCTCTTGAATTCTTTGTGGCGGCGGTCGTGGGATCTTTAGATTTTCATTTTGAATTTTTTAAAATTAGAAAATTAATTTTTTATGGGTTAATTTTCTTTATTAAAATTAAATGCTTACTTATCATGTTAGACGAACACGACTCTCCACAATGGTATTGAGCATAAGTTCTCATGGCTTTGCTTTGGGCTTCCCAAAAGGCCTCATACAAACGGAGTTAGTATTCCTCACTTATAAACTCATGATCATTCCCTAAATTAGCCGATGTGGGACTTTTATCATCCAACAAAATCCATTGAAGAACTAACTTTGACTTTGACTTCAACAAAGTCAAATTTTAAGATTTTGACTAATTTAAAATTAAGAGAATTTCCATTCAACTATTTAAATTATTCAAATGCTAGACCTCTCTTTTGAAGAGATAAATGGTAGGATTGTGATGTATTATAAACGTGTTTTAAATGTTTTGAGCCATATTTTTAGATATATTATATGATTATAATGATTAAAAAAAAACGTTTAAATATCATGTGCTTAAAAAAATTATCTACTAAAGTCATCAAAATCAGGGGTCAGTGTATATGAACCCGACCCAACTCCAATTATACACTAAAGTCATCAAAAGGTGACTATATATGAACCCGACCGAACTCGAGGGTTGAATTAGATAGCATTTTGGGTTGGATTAAGTTGCTTTTTTCTATAATCTCGAATTTCCATTGGACAAATTTTTAAATTAGTCCGAACCTAAAAACCAACCTAAATTTTTTTTTATTAAATATATTGAGATAATTTAACGACATGAAAAAGTTTAAATTTTACTATTTAATAGTTTTTTTTTTTAATTATTTTTATCATTTTAAATTTTGTTTTAACGATTACAATTTTTTTTTTCAATATTTTATAAGATATTCAAACACAAGGTATATTTTTTCATTTTTACGGATATAGATGTATATTCAATAAATATTAAAAAGGTTAGATTGTAGTTAACAGCTTGGCCCATTGATATACCGGAGAATAAATAAATAAATAAATAAATAAATAAATAAATAAATAAATAAATAAATAAAATTACTTTATTTAATTTCTTTTCTATTTTTTCAGAACGCCTCCAATCCATACAAGACGCCCGCATGTTTCTCCACCTCATTCTGTACAAAAAACGTGTCCCTCATCTTCTGAAACGCATGCCACGTCAGCAAACTATCCGAACCGGCCTGATGGCACTTCCCGACCGCCCGGTTCACATTCAAACTCTTGGCTATCCGGTCCAACCCACCGTACAGGCTCTTGCAGAACCGCATCATGTACTTCACATCGTACACGTTATCGCCGAACAAAACCCTTAGAACGCCGAGGAATTCATCCACCCGATTAGGAAGCCTCTTTTGAGTCAGAATCTTAATCAAATACGCGAAGTCGTACGCGCTGTGAAACGTCACCCAACTCACTGAGTCATTACAAACGAGTCCCGACGACATCATCAACTCGGCAAATCGGCATGAGTCGATTCCTTCCACGCGGTTCCGGTCAAAATCGATGCCCTGACGGCGGAGAAGATCGATGGAATCAGGCGCGTAGATGTCACGCGCCAGATCGAAGTCCATGAAGTTGAACTCCCAAATGAATCGGCTATCATCGGTGCCGAGATCTGGTAAATTTCCATCGGAATCGGAGAGAGTGATACCGATCTGTATGAGATTGAGAGCATCGACGTTGGATTTGAGGAGTTTGTAGTGATCAGAGGAGGAGCGATTTAGAGAGTTGAAAGGCGCGGTTGGAGCGGTGAAAACGATTCCGGGGAACTCAGTGTCCATTGAAACGCAAGGAAAGTGATCGATCAAATCGCGGATCAACTGGAACTCAGATTCGAGATTGGAGGCCCAAACTTCACGGATTTTGATGGATTTGTAGTGATTGTTGTTGAGATCGTGGCTAACCATGGCCGAATTCCCGAGATTTGATCTGATCCGATCTGAAAACAAGATTGGAGTGAGATTTGGATGAAGAACAAAAAGGAAGAAGGTGAAGTTCTTATAGAAATTGAAAAGGGAGAAAGTGAGGGATTTAGGGGAAGGTGCGAGGATGGATACAGTGTATTGTGAGGTTGAACGCGTAATTAAATGTTTTGACTCGGAGACTAAGCGAGTTGACTCGGTCCAAATTGGGTTCTCTCCGGCCCGATTTTCCTTTTTTTTTTTTCTTTTTTTTTTTAATAATAATTAAAAAAAGGTTATTGGGCCAACTTTTTCTGTCTTCGTGCCACTTTCCTCGTGGAGTGTTTACGCTGATTCTCCATTTTCTTTTTCTTTTTTCGTTTTTTTATTAAAAAAATTAAATTAAGCAATTTTAAACGTGGGGAATTTAATCTTTGTGTATCCCATGAGGTTATTTTTATGAAATAAAATAACATTTTAAAAAAAAAATTAAATATTTGGTTGTCAATTAAATAACACTTCCTTAATGATTATATGATGAAATATTATTTTTTTAATAATATAGTTTGAATGATATATAATGATAACACTAGACTGCTATATTAGTTAGGGTGGGACGGGTCCTCTCCGAGAATTGATTTATGAGATACTATTTAGTTAGTTTGTGTGATGTGTATAGTTCGGTGTTGAGTTTTGACATGTGATCATGGTTGATCCCTATCGACCTGACCAAACATTGATGGAATGGGTGTCCATATGTAACTTGCATATAATTTTCATATCAAATATTAATTTTTCAACGAAATAATTTATAATAGGAGGTTAAATATTTGGTAGTTCGGTTTTATATAAACTCCCGAAAGATTTGAATAAAATTATTTGTATCTTGTATTTTCATTAGGGTAGTTTTACCAAATATTGTCATGGAATTATTTGTATCGTCGTTGGTCTCTCCACTGCACGTGACGTTTGGCTTGCACTAAAAACTACCTGCAGCCATCATTCGACACACTATGAACTAAGACTCAAGAATGACTTACAACTGATGAAATGCGACACCAAACCTGTTGCTGAGTATGCTCGTACCTTCAGAACAATTTGTGACCAACTTCATACCATTAGTAGACCCGTTTGATAGAGTGCATTAATGTCTTGGTAGACTTGACACCTATGATAAGCAGTAATGGATGCTTATGTGGTAAATAGTATCTGAGTTCTTAAAGAGATTCAACATCAAAATGATTCATTTTCAGTCACGACACAGGCTAAGATCGACGAAAAATATTGTCCGAGACGGTTTTGGGAATAGAAGGAAAGTCATCAAAAAATAGGAAACGGGTAAGGAAGATGAAGTCCATGGGTTTCGGGTCGGATCCAGATCGGGTACCCAATTGATGATTCAATACCGCAATCATCTGTCGGCAACCCAAATTCCCACACGACCCAAGAACCAACCCTCGGCCAACCCGCAGGGATAAATCGAGCCCACACCTGCAACCCGAAACTGCCACATCAGCCCACCTACAACACCTATGCCCAAGCCTAATTAGATTAAGAAAATTATGGGCACTTGCGACTCAGATCAATAAGCTGAAATAACCTGCAGCAGCTCAACTTCATGACCCGCACCTCGACCTGCACACGTCACGTTGCGCCATGTGACACACCTGGAGCTAAAAATCCCCTCGTCTTACATGGCTTAATCGACTTCGGCTCGGCTCCACGGCTCAAAAACCACTTTCTTAGCTCGGTGAAGGGTATTTTTGCCCGATTTCTACTGGTCCAACCATCTCGAAGCTGATTTCGACCCTAATTAAGGTAATTGAGGATCCCAAATTTATTTTAAATTACATTAGAAATGTGAACTACTAATGAATGAGATGACAATCCTAATAGGAAAAGAGAAGACAAGTGTACTTGAATTTAACGAAACACTAGCTAAGGCCAACCAAGTAAGTGATCTTACTATAGTAGCCTTGATTGTATTGATACTTTGTACTTATGATGCTCTCATTATATTATATGATGATGATGTATAATATATGATGTATGATGACGTGAATGAGTTATAAGATGATGTCATATGATATTATATGATGATGATGATGCATGATAACATGACGATGTAAGACGTAATATTATAAATTTACATAATATGACGTTGTTTTCAGTATTAAGATGAAATGCATGTTTTAAATGTCATGTTGCATTATAACAATGATTTTCCTAGGACACAACACTAGTTAATGTTAATGATGATGAATGTACAAATATCAATGCATGTATATTACTTATACTAATATGTGAAAGGAACTTAGGGTTGTGTCATATAGATGTTTTAAAGATGAGAAACTATAAGGACCTCATGCATTATGTGTGTACATATACATCGAGCTACTTTCCCTTTTATGATGATGAGTACAGACGTGTACATTATAATGATCATCATCATCATCATGCTTCGCATGATACTTAGGAGTCAGTTGACCGCCGGACGTTGCTACGGACAACTCGCTCGACTATGATGGGTCCAGGGGGTGCGAGCTGCCTGGGGATCCACACTCGCATGTGTGGGTTGTGTGTAGGAAAGTACTACACGTCTAATGTTGTTCGAACTAGAGGCCACCCCTTTGATGGTTTTAACAATTGGTCTCTAGAGCATGAGTGACATGTGTTTGCATTTTCCAACCCCAATAGCGGGGTCACGTACTGAGTATTTCTTAAAATACTCCGACCGTATGCTACTTCTATTTCAAGTAAAGGCAAAGCACTCATGTACGGCTGACAACGACATCGCAATTAGAGACCATGACACGTACATAGGCTAGTAGTATTTTAAATTCTTAGACTTAGTTTAGTACACGGTGTTTTGCTTTTAATGTTTTACTTTATTTATTTATTATTCTTTTTATATTGTTTTGAATATGTTTTCAAACACGTAACACCGTGATAGTGTTTTAAGTTGAAGTTATATTTTAAGCGGAAGATTATGTTTCACAATGACGTTTTAAATGTTTAATTCCGCATAAGAGTATAGAGTATGATGACAATAACGACTTTAGGTTGAAATCTAAGGTCGTTACACTATATAGAGGGACGTTACTGTCTTTTAACTTTGGAAATGACATAGACCACAATGAAATAATCACATAGCTATCTATATATATATACTTATCTAATCTATTAACTCAATAACACAAAATACTCGTGATCACAACTCTCAACAAGGCTAAGATTATATTTATCTATTAAGATTCTATAAACTTTATAGTTAATGACACTAAAGTGAACCTCTTTTACAAAATAATATTTCTAAGAAACTTTAGACTTTGGTTTCATCTCCGACCGGTAATTCACAATACCGCATACTAGTAGATTCTAAGGTTTAATTTTTTTTTTTTGTTTCTTATACTTTTCAGCTTGTAGCTATGGAAATGGTGAACGGGTCCTTGACGATAGTCGACCGCTATAATCTGGTTTAGTTAGTTTATTTTATGCTATTCTTGACACTCCTTGAGTGATCTGAATATGTTCTTTTTAGAATGCGGGACAAAACCATTGCATTTATTGACGATTTATTAGGAAAGCAGCAATTTCAATCTTTGATGTGTATGGTGGGGAAGAGAGCCCTGACATTCAAGACGTAGGAAAGGAATATGGTCTTGTCAAAACTAAGGGCGCTATTCGTCCAGATGGGTGGGCATATCGTTTCCCGAGTACCAATACTACTATTTTATACTATTGGTCATCAAGTCTCACCGAGTTATTGTCATTGAACATGTCAGACCCAACCATTGACGTAGTCATGCATCAAAGGAACTTCGGATGGTAGTGATTGCTTGCATTGGTGTCTCCTTGGTATACCGGACACATGGAACATGTTCCCTTCTTGCTAAAATATAGTTTCGTTTGTCCTAAAAGTTTGTCCGCAACCCTTCTCCACCCACCTCCCTAGAGTAGTTTAGTTGAGTATTAAGAATTAAATCAATAATTAAAAAAAAAAAAAAAAACTCAGATCTAGGGTGACATCTCGAAAAGAGAGGCTCATGGACTTAGTATAAGATGAATTAATAATCTTAATTATTATAGACTCTATCGGATCATATTCATTAGATTTTAAACTTTTGTGAAACCATAGTGTTTTTTATAACTGTTTAGTTTCACGTTACTAATTTAGTGTTCACCAAGCTAAAACCCTAGTGTTTATGGCAATAAAACCAAAAATTTGTCTCGATCTTTGTACGATTAGCCCATTGAACCTAACAAACTTACAAGTAGCCTATTTACAGAATTGAAGTGTCAATCCTTTTGTAGTGTGATATCAGTTATGGTTCGTTTATCCATAAATGAAGTTTGTGGTGCATTCTTTGGAATTAGTGTTGCATCCAACTTGTTGGTTTCAATAATCTTCGGATTATTTGGTTACTCTTTTAAGGAAATTCAATCTCGCCTCTTGTTTGCTCGAAATTATTTTACTGTCAATTAAAAATTCAGATTTATTCTTGGTTACAAATGTGTCAAATCAAAAGATAAGATCCTAACTTAAAATACTCAAAGGGCGTGGGAAGATAATAAGCATATCTGAAATAAAATTAGAGAATTTGTATAATATATTAATAATTTTTACTTATAATCTTCGTACGTACGACAATGAAGTTTAGTAGTGTCTTAGTATGCATAATTAAAAATTGAGTTTGAAAAAATTTAAAAAGAAAAAAGAGAGATAAATATATATATAAATAATTGTGTGATTATTTTATTGTAGCCTACGCCATTTTCATAATTAAGAGATAACTCTCCCCGTATATAGAGAGGAGGCTTAGTGTAAACACGGAGAGCAGTCTAATGCTTATAGAAATCCTTGATGACATCTTCAAAGGATAAGAGATTGGGACCTAAAAAGTGAAATATAAATGCCTCTACATCGGTAATATAAGACAGGACGCCCTATGTTGATCTGACCAGACAGACCATTCACCACACGCTTGTAACTTGTAAATTAAAGAACGCCCACCCATCTTGTTTTTCATTTCCATTGCAAACCTTCCAATATATTGCACTTCTTCTCTATTGACATCCTTAATTGGAACTAGATTTGAAGGAAACACTATTTCAGAGCTCATTTTGGAACACTTTTGATAGGTAGCTTCAATAAACTTACTTTGCTCATGAATATTTTGGAGTTCGATATTTATATTTGTGGCTGAACGCTACTTAAATTGATATATCCGAATATTACCACAAAAACTAATTGAGCATTTCTCTATTAAGAGATAACTTCGAATCAAATTCTAAAAATACAAACATTATGTAGGTATAGTTTTCAGCTTTAGTAATAAATTATACATTAATGTAGGATACAATTAAGGTTAATTAAATTTGTAAGTAGAAGCTTGGATTAAGCTCCGTTGAATAGGTAATTTTAAATCATACTGAAAAATATATAAGATTTATTTTTTATAGGTTCACAAGAATAAAACAAAGAGTCAAGAAAATGTCATTCGTGACATATTTTAATTTTAATTCTGTCTTATTTTTTCAAAGATAAAAAAATACTCTCTCGAATATGGTATGGTATTCGATTATTCTATCTTGAGTGAAGCACATTTCTACAAGGTAATTCTAAGTTGCAAGCTTCACACTAAGAGGGATCGGAGCCCCTAGTATCAAGGTTGACTAAGTTTCAATTTTTATTCTTCATTTCAACATGAATTAAACATCTTTTTGTGAGGACATGTGAGACCTACGTCGGTTGGGAAGGAAAACGAAACCCTTTATAAGTGTGTGAAAACCTCTCCCTAGCAGACACGTTTTAAAAACCTTGAGAGAAAAGCTGAAAGAGAAAGTCCAAACTAGACAATATTTGCTAGTGGTGAACTTAGGCCGTTATAAATGGTATCAAAGTCAGACATTAAGCAATGTGTCAGCCAAGATGTTGAGCCTCAAAAGGGGGTGTGGACACGAGGCTATGTGCCAACAATGATGCTAGGCCCCAAATGGGGGGTGAATTGTGAGATCATACATTGATTGAGGAGGAGAACGAAATACCCCTAAAGTGTGTGGAAACCTCTCCTTAGCATACATTTTTTAAAAACCTTAAAAAAAACTCTAAAAAGGACAATATCTACTAGCGGTGGGCTAGATATCTAAAAGAGTCACGAAAATAAAAAATGAAATATGGATACAAGACATAAATATGATACCACGTACCATGGTAACATGTCATTTAAAAAAAATCTAAGACTCACATGACAATGGCACATTAATTAAAAAATATATATTTTAAAAAATTTATCAATTTTACATTTAGAAAGAAATTCAAAATAAATAAATTTATATATTCAAAGTTTAAGTGTCAAATACTAAATGGTAAGAACCCAAAATTTCAGCTACCTAAAGTTGCTATCGTCCTCTTAGCGTAAACTCATATGGGAATATAACTCTTAAAACATCATCATTAAAATCATAAAATTCAGTATAAATATAGCTTCCTTTTTTAAAATATTGTCATGATCTTATGTTCTTATGTGTTCCATACAAATTCGAAAATGAAACTAAAAAAAAATCATGAAAATTAATTTATAACACGAAATGCATATCAACTTATTCTAAAAGTCTAGGAAATTAAATATGCTACTAGCCTATGATCTCTGATTGCGATGTCGTTATCAACCGCATAGGGGTGCCTTGTCTTTACCTGAAAAATGGTGTAGCACACGACTTGAGTAGTTCGAAGAATACTCAGTAAGTGACTTCACTATAGAGGCCGTGAAAAATGAAAACACATGCAATGATTCTCTAGAGACCTATCATTAAAACATCTTAGGGGTGTCCTCCAATCTGGATTAAATTAGAGGTGCAATATTGTCTCCCTATACACGACCCACACGTGCGAGTGTGAATCCCCAGGTGGTTCGCATCCCCTGGACCCATGATAGTCGAACTAGTTGTTTGTAGTGACGTCCAAAAGTCAGCAAACCCTTGAGTGTCATGCACGACATGATCACCATCATCATTATAGCGTATGCATCCGTACTCATCATGGTAAAAATGAAAGTATCCCGTTGCTTATGAACATATAGAAATGAATGAGATCCTTATGGTTTCTCGTCTTTAAAACATCTTTATGACACAACCTAGTTCCATCCTTCTACGTCATCATATCATCCTACAACATCATCATAAAACTTCATTGAACGTCATGATATAACTCATACATGTCACCACACATCATAGATCATATGTCACACATCATAGATCATATGTCATACATCAAACCATTGCCTAGCCTATCCTATAGTAGGGTCACTTACTTGGATGGCCTTAACCGATGTGGTCTCAAATTTAAATATGTTAGCTCCTATGCTCCAAGTGCCATCCGAGTTCGTTTCCTATTAGGTGGTTCCGTACTTTTTGTCCATACTTAAATTCGAACTTAAAATTTTAAATATAGCGTAGTAGAGGGTAGAAACTAGGCTAAAATAGAATTACCGAGCCCAGCCGAGACGTCTAAGCCAACTGAGCCGAAGGGGCCGCTCGCTGCAAGCGTGCCATGTGGCACAATATGAGGGTGAATCTTGTGCATGCAACTTCGGGTCAAGGTGCGGGTCGCGCACGGGTGTACAGGTCGCGGTCATGGCTGCTGCAGGTCGCCTGGGCTGGTTGTTGTAGGCTGGGCTGAGCGTTCAGTTTGAGCCTCGGGTCGTGGACGAATGGATTGTTGCAAGTACGCTCTCGAGCTGGGTTTGAGTCGTGGTTTAGACTGAAAGCGAGTGTTGGACCGAACCAATGGATTGGCAGTGGGTACTGGGTTTGAGTTCGACCCTTAAGGAGAGGAAGAGTGGGTACTGGGGCGTGTGGCCGTGGGGACTGGTGGGAGCACCTGTAAGGAGAGGAAAAGTGTGGTCGTGCTGAACGGGCGAGAATTCCGGCGCCAGCTGGAATTGTTGCATCTACCGGCGACTGACATGTTTTTTTTCTCTTCATGTTGGATTATAAATGTCTAACATATTCGTCGTACTAAGCGTTTAATATATGTTCAACACGTGTGAAAGAGACATTAGAATAAGTTATCTTGATGCTTTCTTTACCCCATTTAAATATTAGGATTGACTAACTACAATTTTAATTTTGTCATTTAACAAAGATATAAAAAAAGAGATGAGAAAGAGAAATAAAAGCCTTAAACTTTAGTACATGGTTTCAAAGATGGAACGTGAGAATAAATTTCTTTTGTATCAGTCAAAGTGTATTTGATACGCTCCCAAAATTAACGATGATCTTTCTCCTTCTTTTTCATTTTTTCCTTCTAATGATTAACTTTTTTTTTTTTTTAAGTTAAATGTGAGAATGAAGAAATTATGAAGGAGAAAGATCTTATTGCATATCATTCATATCATACATCTTATCATGTCACATGTGTCATATCATAAGCATATTATGTCTCCTAACATGATACCATGTCATACCATACACGTATCATATCATAAAGCATATCACAATATGCGTCGTATTGTCAAACGTACCATATCATAACATATCATATCATTCACGTATCATATCTCAAACATATCGCCAAACGCATCATATCATAACATATATCATATCATATCTCAAACATATTGTCAAACGTATCATATCATAACATATATCATAGTATAACATATATCATATCATATCTCAAACATATTGTCAAACGTATCATATCATATCATTCACATATCATATCTCAAATACATCGTCAAATGCATCGTATCACAACATATATCATATCTTCAAACACATTATATCATAACATATATCATATCATTCACGTATCATATCTCAAATATATCATCAAACGCATCGTATCATACATAATCATATCTCAAACATATCATCAAACACATCATAACATATATCATATCATTTCGTAACCATTTCACACATATCAAAGATATGACATTGAGGTGTGCCTCATCATACAACATCAATTTCTAACCATGTCGATAGTAATGCCACTTACTTGGTTGTCTTTGTCGAAACTACTACTGACTCCTTAATGTTAGTTTAATGCTACTCTCTAAAATTTAATTCTACCTAAAGAGTCTAACATCATAAATTAGAATTTTACTATCAAAATCCGTAGAAAATAATTTAAACTAGCTAAGCCTAATTTTACAATAAATAATTTAAATTACTTCTAATAATTTAAATTAAATGTCAGATTGAGACATTAGAAATTGTATTCTCCAGCATTCGACCCATTCAAGTGTGATGCTAAAATGAAATGAGGGACCTCTCCTTGTCGAAACTCCTCGCTTCTCAACTTACGTGGCACAAAATTTCCCTTTTCCTCTTTTTTTTCTATTTGTTTTTTTAGTAGGTTATTACTTAATGGAAACTAATATGTAATGGTAACTAATATGTATGTCATTTTCATAGTTAAAAGAAAATAACGACCCTATATATATAGAGAGAGGGGGCTTAGCGTAGGCACTAGAGCTGTCTAATGCTTGTAGAAATCCCTGAGAACATCTTCAAAGATAAGAGACTCGGTCCTAACGGGCGTAAA